ACCTGAGGGCGGAGGGCTCCGAGCCGGCCGAGGTGAGCACTGCGCGTGCGTGCGAGCACAGGGGCGGAGCCCGGGAGCCCCGTGGGATCTAGGGATGGAGCAGAGCGGAGCTGGGGTAGGGCCCGCTGCCCTCGCGCTGGCAGCAGCCAGGGGAAAGGGGCTTGGGCGGGGTTGCGCAGTTGGGCCGTAAGGTTGAGAGCCGGGGGGCGGAGCCTCCGGGAGGCGGGGCGGGCCTGCGAGGGCGGGGCGGAGGTCCTGTAGAAGCGCTGTGCGCGCGCCCGGATGCTCCTCTCCTCGCGGGCCCGGGCCGAGGGGCGGGGCCCGGATCCCTGGAGATCCGAGCCCAACTGTCCCGGCGCGCAGAGCTAACGGGAGGCCCAGGAGAGCGGGTCGGCTTCCGGGCAGGTGGGACCCTGGCCGGGCGCGGCGGACCGAGGGGGCTGCAGCGGGCAGGGGAGCGAGCGATCGTGGAGGGCTTGTGAGGAGACGCGGAGGCGCCGAGACGGGAGACGCCGAGGGGAACCTCGAGAGGGCCAGAGTGGGGCAGTCTGGCTCTGGTTCTGCTCTCTTCTGGGCCCTGGGGACCCTCGTGCCACCTCACAAACCTTTTCGAGCTCAGAGAGTGTTTTGACCCTGCAAAACAATTGCAAATGGAGGTTAATAAATCTACCAGAACGTACGATGTCAGCCACGATGTAACCCACGTAGTTATGAATTATATTTAAGGTGGGTTCGTGTAGTATATATTTTATCATTTGTGGCGGCGCCTCCAAATGTGCGTTTCTTGGCCCCCGGAGGTCCAGTTGCCCTGGGACTGAGGAGGAGGGTTGGGGGAGTCGGTGAGAAGGTGGTGTCAGAGTGGTTTCGAGGCCTGGGAGGCAGAGGATGGCTGGTTTCTGATTCACACCAAGGTTCCCAGTGGGAAGTTTGGAGAAGGCCCCTTGTACGAGCACCAGCACCTAGGGGCTGGTCAAGGAGGTCACTAACGACCACCAGGGGTTTTGGAAAGAAGGACTGAGAAGGGCATTGGAACTGGAGGTGAAAGGGTGATCTGGTTTAGAGGACAAGATAAGGCTTCAGGGTAGTCCAGGGTCAGGGATTTTTCAAAATGTAAAGGATGGCACCCCAGTGTGCACCGCCTTTGGTAAACTGAGGCCCTGAGAGAAGACGTGTATTTAGACCAAGACATCCCAGAGTAGGGATTTGACTAAATCCCAAACCTGTACCTCAAAGTTGTGGGAACAACACATCTGCTGAATTGTTTGATGGTTTTCTTAGAGGTTGGTTTCCTTCTTATTAACTGCAACAAAAGAACCTTAGAGAAACCAAACTTTGCCATTTCTTGTTATTTCTAACACAGGAAATAGAAAGGATAATGGTAGATACAGGAGGCATGAAATAAATTTTGTATTAAAGCGCTTGGTTGCCTCACTCAGACAACTTAGATAGTTAAGAATGAGGTTAGAAAACCAAACATTTGGAGAGTGTATGCTTTACTATTCATCTGCTCCCCATCACGTTTGATGGAGTTCCCTAATACAGTTCCTTACTTTTTTCTTTCTTTTCTTTTTCTTTTTTTTTTTTTTTTTTAGAGGTTTTTGCTATAGGGTGTGCATGCTCGCCAGAAAGACAAGAGACAGACAGAGAGACAGACAGCGAGAAATCACCCACCCCCGGAGGGGTTGGCCAGGCTGCAATCCCTTCTCCTCCATTCTCTTCTTGGGATCTTGGGCATGCACGCACATGCACCCTGTGTGAGTTTAAGCCACCGGATCCAGGACTCGAACCACGGTGGGCTACATGGGAGTCCAGTGATATAGCCATTACACCAACTGCTGGTCCCCCAATACAGCTTCTTAAAAAATGTTCACTCCCCTAATACAGCTTCTTTAAAAATGTCCGTTCCCCCAAATCTTCAGTTCTCACATTTTTCACCCCCAAATAGATTACTGTAGGCTTTCTCCACCTTGATGCTATCCACATTTGGGGCCAGATAGTTGTTGATGGGGGAGCAGGCTGTTCTGTGCATGATGGTGTATATTAGCAGGCCCTCCCCCCAACTTGTGGCAGCCTGAACTGTGTTGTCCAATGTCCCTTGAAAGGCAAAATCAACTCCACTCCAGTTGCAATCCATTGGACTACAGGATAAAGCCCATTGCCTTTAACCTGTCTTTTATGATTATTCATTATCTTTTCCCAATCTATAATACACCTTTTGTAGAGTTTGACTCTGCCTAAAAGAAATGCCAATGTAGAAATCCTTTCTTTAGTTTTCTTCATATATTATCACCTATCCTTCTTGGACACTTTCAGGGTTTGAAAATATTCAGAATCATTACTTTGGGATCAGCCTGTCGCATCGTGGTTAAAGGAGCTAGATCCCACATGGCCGACTTCCTGGTCTGAATCCAGGCCCCAGGGACTTGAGAAATGTGCCAGGTGTGCCCCAAATCCCAACAGGATGGAGAAATGGAAGAGGGATGTGACCATACCCCATCGTATGGGGGTCAGGGGTGGGAGATGCCTCCTTCCCTCTGCTTTTGTCTGTCTAGCTAACACATATGCCCTCTGGCAATAAACAAGGAAAAAGCTGTTATATCTGACATGTTTTTATGCTAAAAATTTGTGTTTGTTGAGTCTAGTTCACCCTCCTAGATCTGAAAAATAAAAATTATAACCCTTTCTCTATTCCTGAGCACTACTGATACCAAAAATTATAGTCAATTTTCTCTAACCAACTTACCTCTTCTTGAAATGGTTCAGCCTCTGTTTCAGTCTTCTCCATGTAACAGTGGTTTATAGATCATCATGAACCTTAACTCTCCTCTGAACCATAGCAACCCTGACAATTTCCTACTTAAAACAAATTACCCATAGGGCCAGCCAGTGGCACTTTGATTAAGGCAGCTGGATCCCATATGGCTGACTTTGCAGTTCGAGTATAGACCTAGTAGTTTGAGAAATCATGCTGGGCACATATGCATGTGTTCCCAAAATCCTGAGGAAACAGTACTGCTGAGTGGCCATCCCCCTCTAAGGGAGTGCTTTCCCACTTTCCCTTTCTGTCTCTCTTGGGTAAGTACACACACCATATAACAAACAAACAAAATACTATGCACAATTAAATATAGTATTCGATGTGTACATCATACTTTGTTAGCATATAACATATTATTAGTTGCATGACCACCCATCTTTGACTAAATGTGAACGCAAGAACCAAGTCTTAAGTCATTCAAGTTGTATCTTTGTAATACTAGCATAATGCTGGGCTTAGTAGAAAAGAGCCTTAACTGGTGTTCAGAAATGTTGATGGAATATGTTGACTCCATGTATAACTTTTATCTTTTTTTTTTTTGGCTAAAGGGTAAATGGGCTCCCCAGATTGAGGGTGGGGCAGGGGGCTGAGAAAGCACCACCTATGCACATAAACAGACCTGGCATATTTTTCAAGCCCCTGGTCTCGAACAGTGGGGTCGGCCTTGTGGAATTCAGCTACCTTAACCACCGGGCCACAGAGCCAACCCTTCTTAACCCTTTTAATATAATCTGAGGTAACATTCCTTTACCTTTGGGCAGATATAATTGTCTTTGTTATTAACCAAACCTTTTAAGTTTTATACATCTAGATCAAGGGTTGGCAAAGTTTTGTAAAGGGCCAGATAGTAAATATCACAGGCTTTGTGGACCTGTTACAGCTGCTGTCACCGAAGCTTAAAAGTAGCCCATCTAATGAATTTCTTATTTTAGATATTGTAATTTTCTCGAACTTCCATTTTATCTTTTTAAATTTCCATTTCTCTGCTAAAATGCTCTTTATGTCACCCATGTTGTCTACCTTTTCTTTAAATTCTCTAACAGATTGATAATAGTTACCTTTGTATCTGTCCGCTAGTTCTAGCACCTGGTTCAGCTGTATATCAACTTCTTATGACTTTGTTTGCCACACATTGTATCCAGAAAAATAGGGACAGGAATGGATCGTGCTTTTTCTCAGAGGGAACACACCATTCCTTTTGTCTGGTAGCTAGGATGAGGGGCAAATCACTTTAGTCCAGGCAAGAATTGTGCAGTGTATGGACCAAGTTGCAATTTTAAATAATTTCAGATTACTTTTGCTTTTCAGATAACTGAAGTGATGTCAATTCTCTCCCTTACCAGAGTTTTAGTATCTTAAATATGCAGGACTAAAGAAATCTTTCCTTACTTTTAAGCTCACGCTTGAAGTTTCCTGGGAAGTGCCACTTAGGGACTGATTTCTTTGGGGCTGGGTTGCAGCTGTACTTGGTTGCACTTTAATTCTCATAAGCATGACAAATGAGTGAAAGCAGCCAGATACAAGTAATATAAACTTAGTACGTTAAGTTCATGCAGAAATGTTCTGGTGGTAGATTGTTAGGGTGAGGACCATGAGGCTGGCCAGCCACAGTGGCACTGGTAAGAGCTGCTGCTCTGCAGGATGAGGCCACATAGGAGGCCTGTGTGTGCTACCTGGCCCCCTATAAAAACTAGGCATGATGGCAGGCACCCTGAGTCCAGGCACTAGGGAGGCTGAGGCAAGAGGTCCAAGACACAGTAATACTCTGTCCTGAAAATAAGGAAGAGAAGGAAAGAAAGAGAAAGACTGACTGACCATGGCTATATTTAGGATGAAAGGAGGGGTACTGATTGGGCAAGGGCATGAGGAGCGCTTCTCAAGTGTTCCGTTTATCTGGGTGTGTTTATTTGTGGAAGTTTATTGAGTTCTATGCTTATGATTTGAGCCCTCTACTGGTATGTACTAGTTAATAACAATGACAAGTGTGGGAAGAGGCATTCTTGCACACAAAATAACCGACCAATCCTGAAACCAAGTTAAAATGGAAGGTTAAACACAGGCTGGGAGAAGATATTTGCACACATACAACAAAGGACTTGTATCTAGAATGTCATATATTTTTAGAATTCCTACAAATCAAAACGAGTAAGGACCAAATTTAAATAATAAGTTACAGTCCAATAGGAAAATGGGCAAAGGATGAGAAAAAGCAAATAACAGAAAAATAGATAAAAATGGTCCAGGAGGGACCAGCAGTTGACATAATGGCTATGTTGCTGGACTCCCATGTAGTCGACCACAATTCAAGTCCTGGACCCAGTGGATTAAACTCATGCCGGGTGCATGTGTGTGCATGCCCAAGATCCCAAGAGGAAAATGGAGAAGAAGGGATTGCATCATGGCCATTCCCCCTGGGGGTGATTTCTTGCTTTCTGTCCCTGTCTGTCTTTCTGGAGAGCACACTCACCCTATAGCAAAAACCTCTCCAAAAAAATAATAATAATAATAAATATATATATATATATATATGGTCCAGGAGCCAGCAGGTGGTGTGGTGGTTAAGACAGTGGATTCCCACATGGCTGACCATGTTTCAAATCCTGGGCCTGGCAGCTTTAAAATCATGCCAAGTGCATGTACATGTGTGCCTAAAATCCTAAGAAGAGAATGGAGGAGAAGGGATTGTGGCATGGCCACCCCCTCTAGGGAGTGATTTCTCACAGTCCCCTTCTCTCTCTTTGGCAAGCTCATGTGCCATATAGCAAAAACCTGTTTGTTTTTTTTTTTTTTTAAAAGAATGGTCCTTAAACTTAGAAACTTATATTCACATTCCTAACAATCATGGGCATATAAATGGAAACTTTAATGGGGCCAGCAGGTGTCATAGTGGTCAAAGTGCTGGCTTCCCATGTAGCCCACCGTGGTTGAAGTCCTGGACCCAGCAACTTCAAACTTATGCTGGGCATGTGTGCATCTGTACCCCAAATCCCAAAAGGAGAATGGAAAAGGGATTATGACGTGGCCATCCCCCCCGGGGTGGAGGGTGGGGGTGATTTCTTGCTTTCTGTCTCTCTGGCAAGTGTACATGCCCTATAGCAAAAATCTCTCAAAAAAAAAAAAAAACCTTATTGAGATACCCTTTCCAATGTGATTAGCAAATATCCAAAATACCAAATTGGCAAGAATCTGAACAATTAAAAACTGTAATACACTGCTGGTAAGAATATAATTTGTTATAAGAGAACAAATTGATCATTTAGTGACTTGAAGTGTGCAGATTCTAAGTTTCTGTAATTTTACCTCTGTGTATAGAGGTAAATTTTTAAAAATAATTAATTTTATTCAACTTTATTCATTATTATTTCTTAATTTGACCAGAGAAAGACAGAGAGAGGAATGTGAGAGAGCAAGTCACCAGGTCCAGGACTCAAACCACGGTCTGCCATGTGGGAGCCCAGCACCTTAACCACTACACAACCTGCTGGCCCCAGGATCATCTTTATTGAAATACAACCTTACAACAGACATGTGTTTAAGTCCATGACTCAAGTAACTGACTTAGTAAAACAAGTAAAAGGTTATCTTGTTTTATATCTCTGCTCAAAAAATAATGATCAGTGCTGGAGAGGCTATGGTGAAAGGGGGACACTCCTACACTGTTGGTGGGGATGTAAATTGGTCCAGCCACTGTGGAGAATGATGTGGAGGTTCCTCAAAGACCTTCAAATAGAACTACCTTATGATCCAGCAATTCTACTCCTGGGTATCTACCCAAAGGACAGGAGAGCACTCAGTCAGAAAAGCACTTGCACAACTATTTTCATTGCAGCATTATTCATGATTTCTAAGACATGGAACCAACCCAAATGTCCACAAACAGGTGAATGGATTGAAAAATTGTGGCACATATACTCCATGGAATACTATTCAGCCATAAAAAACAAGGCCCAGGAATTTGATAGAAAGTGGACGAATATGGAAGATTTGTTGCTGAGTGAATCAAGTCAGGCTATGAGAGACATTGTATGTCTCCACTTAACCGTCCGCACTCTATGGTAGAGACTGAAAGACTGGAGAACATAAAAGTATTAAAAATTGTAATGGACACTGGGGACAAAGTGGAAAGAGAGTGTGGGAGGGGAATAGCATAGGAAAGGAAATTTGGGGGGAAAATGGAGAGGTAAAACACGGAAGACACAGATTAGGGTTTTTTGGTTTTTTTTTGGGGGGGGAGAGGTTTTTGCTATAGTGCATGTGTGTTCACCAGAAAGACAGAGAGAGACAGAGACAGAAAGCAAGAAATCACTTCCCAAGGGGGATGGCCATGCCACAATCCCTTCTCCTCCATTCTCCTCTCAAGATCTTGGGCACGCATGCACACGTGCCTGGTGTGAGTTTAAGCACCGGGTCCGGGACTCGAACCACGGTCAACCACATGAGAGCCCAGTGACATAGCCATTATACAAATTGCTGGTCCCAGATTAGGTTTTTTTATCTGTTGACAAGAATGTGTATAATAGTCTTAACTGAACAGGACTGACGGGTATATCATGCTGGGTAAAGCCTCTTCACAATCTAAATGATGTATAGCGACTTAATGTATGAATAATAATTAAAAATTAATAATAATAAAGTTAAATAAAATAATTTTTAAAAATAAAAATACTATTGATTTCTGGATGTTGATTTTTGTCTCCTGCCACTTTGCTGTATTCATTTATTACTTCAAGAAGTTTTTCATTCTAAATGTACCATCATGTCATCTATAAATAAAGATATTTTCAATTTAAAAAAATAAAAATAAATGATGATAACGTATCTTTTAAGATACAAGCAATATTGTTTGCCACATCAATTGAAAAGTCTATGAATAAATTCACAAAATATGTTTTTATCCTTAAGATTCTTTAAATTTCAGAAATATAACTATACAGCTTTTAAATATTTTACCCACTTACTCTATGTCACCTTAGCTTGGTAACTGTTTCCATATAAGTAAGTGCTTTTCATTTTAGAAGCATTAAAGTGATGTCAGGGTTGTCAGAGGCTCCTTCTGAGCACAGAGTAGTAGAAATACTGTAGTCATGTCTGACAGGTTGTCCCTGGAGAGGTCAGAAGTTTACTTATGTAAATAAACATGTTAAAGTCCCTCCCACTGGTGAATAGTTTGGGAGTTACACTGTGTGCTCAGCAACAAGCAAGTCCTTTCTTTTCTCAGAGGAAAAGTTACTTTTTTGTCTTTGTTTTGGTCTTTCTGCAGGTTAAACACTAAAATGAGAAAAGTTGATCTCTGTTTGAGCTCTGAAGGGACAGAAGTGATTTTAGCTACATCAAGTGATGAAAAACACCCACCTGAAAATATCATTGATGGGTAAGAGTTACTGCGTTTTCTTATTTAAAATCTTAAATATTAAGTCAGTGGATCCCATGAGTGCTTGGACTATGTGTTTTATAACACTACCACTGTTAAACATGGTTTAGTGTATGACTGGGGCTGGCCTTGTAGCCTATTGTTGAAGGGAGTCAAATTCCATATGGCCAACTATAGTTCAAGTGCCAACCCTGGTGTCTTGAAAAACATGCTGGGGGCATATACATGCGTGCCCCCAATCCTGCACACTGAAAAATAGAGGAGAAGGGATTGTGGCATGTCTATTCTCTCTGGCAAACACATACACTCTCCAGCAATTAAAGAAAAAAAGTGTTGGGGCCAGCAGATGGAATAGTGATTAAGGATCTGGATTTCCACGTGGCTGATCATGGTTTAAGTCCCGAACCCAGCAGTTTAAAACTCACTTCGGATCTGTGCGATCTGTGCGTGTGCATGCCCAGAATCTCAAGAGGAGAATGGAGAAGTGATTGCAATGTGGCCATCCCCCCAGGGGGTGATTTCTCACTTTTTGTCTCTCCAGTGAGCACATGAGCCCTATAGCAAAAATCTCAAAAAAAACAATGTGTGTGTGTTTGGGGAATTCAGTATCTACCTTTGGTACTATTTCTGGAACTAATTCAGTTGTGTTTATTTAGTTTTTTAATCCTTTTCTTTATAATTCCTAAACCAACCTGTTTGTATAAATTGTTTTCTTAGAAATGGCTTACCGGGGGAACCAGCAGTTAGCGTGATGGCTGTGTCACTGGACTCCCACTTAGTCGACCGCGGTTCGCGTCCCGGATCCGGCGACTTAAAACTCACGCCGGCACGTGTGCGTGCGTGCCCAAGATCCTGAGAGGAGAAGTGATTGCGGCATGACCATCCCCCCTGGGGGGGTGATTTCTCGCTTTCTGTCTCTGTCTCTCTGTCTGGCAAGTGCATGCGCCCTATAGCGAAAAACCTCTCCCAAAAAAAAAAAAGAAATGGCTTACCGGGCCAGCAGGTGGCATAGTAGTTAAGGGCGCTGGACTCCCACATGGCCCACCTCTGTCTGAGTTCCAAACCTGGTAGCTTGCTTTCTCATTTTCTCGTTTTCTCTAACTCTGTCCCTATCTGATTTTGTTAAAATAAATAAAGTTAAATAAAGTAATTCTTTTTTTTTTTTGGAGAGGTTTTTGCTATAGGTAATAGAGTATGTATATAGCAAATGTTATTACATGAGTGAGAGAGTCAGTGAGAGAGAGTCAGTGCTCCCAACAGAGCCCTGACACTACAGGCCACTCCTAGTCTCAGCAGGCCCCGATCATGGCACATGTGTGTCAGGTGTACTCAGGGCAGCCTCTGAACACATACCAGTAACCCGCCTGTTTGGGTCTGCCTCACAGAGCATTCCATTTTAACTCCAAGTCACCAAATAGCCCCAGGAAATGTTCTATATTTTGATTAGGGTATTGGTTTCCCTGGGGTATTTGTTATGTAAGCACATATATTCCTGAAAATGTATTAAATTATACATTAATGTTAAATTTAACTGAAGGTAAATTTTACTTCCAAAAAAGAAAAAAGTTTGCATATTTAAAATATAAATAATTTCTATACTCTATACCATATATACTATATACTATGTATACATATATCTAGGACTTAAAATTGCATGATTTTTTAAAGAATTATTTTATTTAATTATATTTATGTATTTATTGAGAGATTTTTGCTATAGGGCACTTGTGTTCTCTGAAGACACACACACAGAGAAAATGAGAACTTACTCCCTAGGGGAATGACCACGCCGCAATCCCTTCTTCTCTATTCTCCACTCAGGATTTTGGGCACATACGCACACATGCCTGGCATGAGTTTCAAGTCACCGGGTCTGGGACTCAAGTGAGAGTCCAGTGCCCTAACCACCATGCCATCTGCTGGCCCCTATTATTATTTTTAAAATTTTGATCAGAGAGAGGGAAAGTGAGAAAGCAAGCTTCTAGGTCTGGGACCCGAACCACAGTTGGCCATGTTGGAGTCCAGTGCCTTTAAGCACCACACCACTGGCCAGCCCCACAAGTTGCATTCTTTAATTTGTTTTTCAACAAACATTTATGCATCTCCTGTAAGTCAACCGTTGTTGTAGTTGTTAGGAATAGAAAGATGAATAAGATAGATAGGACCAGAAGTTTAAACTTTTGTAAAGAAAAATGGGCTTTTTTAGGTCAATAAAAACTCGTGAACCAGGGTACAGAAACATGGGGCTGCCTGAAGTACTTGCAGAATTTGTTTTAAGTTTTTGTGCTAGAGTATGTGCACTCACCAAAAAGAGACAGAGACAAAAAGAGGGAAAGTGAGAAATCGCTCCCCCAAGGGGAATAGCACAAGCACACACACCCATACCTGGTGTGATTTCTCAAGTCACCTGGTCCAGGACTTGAACCACAATCGGCCATGTGGGAATCTAGCACCTTAACCACCATGCCACTGCTGGGCCCACATTTGCAGAATTTTGAGTGGCCCAGTGTGACTACAGTAATGGTGATATAGTGGTGCAAGACAATATACTTTTTTCCCTTATTTTGCCAGAGAGTATGTGGGCTCACTGGAGAGAGACAGGGAGACAGAGGGAGAAGGCAAAAACATCCCTTCCATGGGTCATAATTATGCACAATCTCTTCTCCATTTCTTCCATTCCACGGAGATGTCGGACACCCACACACATATCTGGCATGTTTTTCAAGCTGCCATGATTCAAACCATGCGTCAGCCATGTGGGATCTGGCTCCCTTAACCACTAGACTATGGAGTCAACCCAAGACGGTATTCCTTAATAATGGAACCAGATTGCAGAGTATTAACTGCCAAACTGAGGAGCTTAGATTTGTAGGCAATAAGGGACTACCGAAGGCTTTTATTATAAATAGAAGTGAGTAACCTAGATTCTGTGTTTCTGTGTTTTAAAAAAGATTATCTGGTAGTAGTAAAGAATGATTAAAGTTAGGGAAAGTTTAGAGACAGAATTAACAGGAAGGTATTCCAAGAGTCTAGTATAGTCATTTATGTTTTTAAAATACTGAGTTGTCAAAAAAAAATCCTGACTTTTCTGACTACCTAGTGTGTATTCATGGGGGCTAGCTTACGATGTGATTAAGATGCCTGGATCCAACATGGCCGACTGTGCAGTTGAGTCCTAATGGCTTGTAAAACACACCAGGAGTGTGTGTATGTGTGCCCCACATTCCAAGAGAAGAGGGGATTGCAATGTGATCATCCCCCCTTTGTCTCTCTCAATCTATCTCTGTCTCTCCAATGAGTGTACATGCCCTGTAACAAATTAAAATATATATATTTATTTATTAGTATTTTATGATTAACCATTTATATTTGGCTATTCCTTTTTCTTTTTCTTTAACATTAACAATAGAAATCCAGAAACATTTTGGACCACCACAGGAATGTTTCCCCAGGAGTTCATTATTTGTTTTCACAGACATGTAAGGATTGAAAGGCTTGTAATCCAGAGTTACTTTGGTAAGCAAATCATACATTAATTTTTATCATCCTTTGATTTTTCCATAGGCAGAGGACATGTACATAAACTTTTGGTAAAAGAATGTTTCTTTATACCATGGAATTCGGTTTTGCTTCTGGGACTGGAGGGTGGACATGATCGGTTAACTACCTTTAGCACAATTAGCCTCTCTCAAACTGCAAATTTGAAACCCTTCCAAAGCACATAATAATTTCCATGCAATTTGCTATGTGAAATTCTTAGGGAAAAAGCTTTATTATGAACATAAAAAGTCAACTTGTCAGAACAGTAGGTTCTGTGACATTTTTATTCTAGACTCATTCAGCCTGGGGTCCTCTGCCAAGTTATTGCTGAGAATCTGATAACTCTGATTATTCACACTGGATAGTTTTGATGCTTCTATTAGAAATGGCATTTTCTGAGGAATTTAGAAGAATCTCCCATTGGATATCATTCTAATTTTATCCATGTTTATTTTAAGACTTAGGGTATCAGCCAAAAAATCATGTTAGGAAACAGAATACATCCCCGGTGGTTGAAATCAAGAGGCTTTATTTTTGGTGCTACCTACGAAATTATAGTGTGGGTTAAGGGAACAAACAAGAGATGACAAGGTCCTCAGAAATGAGCTACAGCAGGAAGCTGTTTCCCCTGGGGAAAGGGAAGGAAACAGTATTATCAGAGCTGGAGCCTGTGCAAGAGGGTCTGCCTGGCAGAGTTCTAGTCATGAAGGTTATTATCCGTTGTCAAAGATGTGGCACTGAAGCAGGGAGGAAGTGCAGATAAAACAGACTGATCTCACTTCCCCACTGCCCTCCATACTGCTCCTGGTACTTCACATTGACCAAATCCAGCCAGAAACCAGAAACTAGTGGGCAAGTCCAAGTGGTATGTCTACAAAGGTCAGTTTTTCAGGGCACAGAGCAGGACAGAGAAGGGGAGGAATGCATCTGAGATGGCAGGCACTGGGTTGGGGATGGTGGAGAAAAGCCAGTGCAGAAGGGAGATGACTATTCCTGATAAGGCTGTCTCCTGTCATTGGTTTTAAAGGTTCTGGAGTCAGACAACTTGAAGTTTGAATTCCAGTTCTGGTACTTACTAGCTCTGTATCATTGAGTACTTTGTCTGACTTCTCCAAAACTGTTTTCTTATCTGTAAAGTAGATTAATAATACCTTTCTCATAAGTTTATAATCAGGAGTGAATGAATAAATAAATAATGCCTGATTCAGAGTAGATTCTCCGTTAAAGTTTATGACCAATAATACCTATCCTACTATTATTACCAGTATACAAAAAGAATAAATAATTTGAATGATACCAAATTCAAAAAAGCCTGTATTGTATATCTATAAACATTTATGTAATAATATAGTCATACAAGACTGCATTTTACCATTGGAACTTGTGGAAAAATAGAGTAAGTGAATAACTTCCAGAGCATGACATGATCGCAGCACTCTGTGTAGTCACACCAATGCCTGCCAGTTTTAGACAGAGGGAAAAAGAAATATAGGGAGAGGGACCAGCAGTTAGCGTAATGGCTATGTCGCTGCACTCCCATATAGTTGACCGCGGTTCGTGTCCCGGACCCAGGCGTGTGTGCGTGCGTGCCCAAGATCCCGAGAGGAGAATGGAGGAGAAGGGATTGCGGCGTGGTTATCCCCCCTGGGGGGTGATTTCTCGCTTTCTGTCTCTCTGTCTCTGTCTGTCTGGCGAGCACACGCACCCTATAGCAAAAAAAACTCTCAAAAAAAAAAAAAAAGAAAGAAAGAAATATAGGGAGAACAGCCACACAGAATTAACACTTTATTTTGTGTGCTTAAAATGCCAGTGCGGACCATAAGGATTGAAAAGAGCACATCTAAAGAGCCGGTTGATTTTGAGCAATGGATTGAAAAAGGTATGTACTTATTTCACCAGCATTGTTCTGAACGTGGGGTAGGTAATTGTCTTTTGGGTCTACATTTCCAATCCAACTGCATTTTGCTGAAAAACAATACATTGGCTGCTTCTTTACTTAGTGGTTATGTAATAATCATTGACATGTTACTTCGTTTTTTTCCTGCATTTCAGAATCCTCATCAGAAAAATGGAAACAATGTCTATTATATAAGGTTTTTTATGAAATAGATTCTGACATATGATAGACAGGCAGTAAATAATAATTTCTCATCTTCTTTCTTTCCTTCCTGATCACTGGCACTATTTGAATATCAGCAGTGGAATTGTGAGCTTCCAACTGAATGTTAGGCATATTGCCTTCATAGGTCTATCTCCTTTTTATCCCAAAATACCATGAAAAACTAGTAAAGGGAAAAAAAGAGGCATAAACCTAGAAGGATAAAAAAAAATCAATAAACAAAAAACCAGGAAACTGAAAAACCAGGAAACTGAAGTAAATATTCGAGATCAATATATTAATATGTTATGATGGGGCCGACAGGTGGCATGGTGGTCGAGGTGCTGGACTCCTTTATGATCAACCGTGGTTCAAGTCCTGAACCTGGTAGCCCGAAAAACACAATAGATAAGTAAATAAAATAAATTGAGAGGGAAAGTAGATGGCGGAGCAATAACTTCTGTAGCTGAACAAATTAGGTTAAATCTAAGTGCCTGCTAAGGCAGCTACCAATGACAAGCAAGCCAGTTTGCCATTCAAAACCCCAGAAGTCAACAGGTACCGTGAAAACTGGGGAACCAGCAGTTAGTGTAATGGCTATGTCGCTGGACTCCCACGTAGTCGACTGCGGTTCACGTCCCAGACCCAGTGGCTTAAAACTCACGCCGGGCGCATGTGCATGTGTGCCCAAGATCCCGAGAGGAGAATGGAGGAGAAGGGATTGCGTCATGACCATCCCCTCCGGGGGTTGATTTCTCGCTTTCTATCTCTCTGTCTCTCTCTGTCTGTCTGTCTGGCGAGCGCATGCACCCTATAGCAAAAACCTCTCCAAAAAAAGAAAAAGAAAAGAAAAAGAAAAACAGGTACCATGAAAACTGTGAGTGAGATATGGGCCAGAAGACAAGGATGATTAGGAACATCTGTGTATGGAGTGGTTGGACTCTAGGTATCTTCTACCCCACAAAGCCAAACACCACTCCTTTTCCCCACAGACTTCCACTGCCACCCCTAAGAGATAACTAGGAACACTGAATGCTGAGGCCCAGGACTCAGGAGCTCAGGGACAGTGGAGAGAGTAAGTGGTACACAGGTTGAAAACAGGAGGTTTGGATGGAAGCATACACACTGAATAGTGGGAATTCCAGTCTCCTCCCTGTCCTCTGCTATTTAAAAAAAATTTTTTTTAATTTTATTTATTCATCTACTTATTTTATTTTGACCAGAGAGACACACAAAGAGAGAGAAAGTGAGAAAGCAAGCCACCAGGTCCAGGACCCGAACCATAGTTGGCCATGTGGGAATGTCCAGCGCTTCAGTCACCACACCACCTGCCGGTCCCCTGTCCTCTGCTATTAAAGACAGCAACCAAGATGATATCCCCAGCCAGGAGATCAGAGGAATCATCTTTCGAGACACTAAATGGCTCCAGTAAAAAATATCTATAGATACTAACAAAGGCTAGCTCACTGTTGGTCACCCTGTTGAAGTCCACTATTCAACAAGCCTGGCGCATAACACACAGTTTTCAAATATTTATTCATAAGTAATATGAATAAGAAAAGATAGCCAGAGATCACCAGACATTTGATGAAGGCTTCAAACCTTGAATATAATAAAGGTTTTAGCTCTAATTTTCAATCTATAGGAAACATAGATATTAGAGGGACAAATGAAATGAAACCATGAGAGGAAAGACAAACTCTAGAACGTTCAACATGCTACAGGACAACTGACTTTGCCTCTTCAATAAGTCAATGATGTTTTTAAACATATGTCTAGGGGTGGGACCAGCAGAGTAATGGCTATGTCACTGGACTCCCATGTAGTCGACCGCGGTTCCAGTCCCGGACCTGGCGGCTTAAACTCACGCCGGGCACGTGTGCATGCGTGCCTAAGATCCCGAGAGGAGAATGGAGGAGAAGGGATTGCAGAGTGGCCATCCTCCCTGGGGGGTGATTTCTCGCTTTCTGTCTCTCTGTCTCTCTCTTTCTGGCAAGCACACATGCCCTATAGCAAAAACCTCTCCAGAAAAAAAAAAAAATTGGGGGGAGAGAATGCAGTTCAATATTAAAGAGACAGTTCTGGAGCCAACCAGCTTCATGATAGTTAATACAGCTGGGTCCTGGGACCAGCAGTGGGCATAATGGCTATGTCGCTGGACTCCCATGTAGTCGACCGCAGTTTGAGTCCCGAACCTGGTGGCTTAAACTCACACCAGGCTCATGTGCGTGCATGCCCAAGATCCCAAGAGGAGAATGAAGGAGGCATTGTGGCATGGCTATCCCCCCTGAGGGGTGATTTCTCACTTTCTGTTTCTCTGTCTCTCTCTCGTCTTTCTGGCGAGCACACGTGCCCTATAGCAAAAACCTTTCCAAAACAAAAACACAGCTGGATCCTACATGGCCGACTACATGGTTCAAGTACCAGGCACAGTGGCTTGAAAAACACACTAGCGTTTGTGCATGTGTGCCTAAAAATCCCAAATGGAGAATGGAGAAGAAGGGACTACAGTGTGGCCATCCATCCCAGGGGAGCAATTTCTCATTTTTCTCTCTCTTGTAAGTGCACACGCAGAAAACTTAAAAAAAAAAAAAAAAAAAAAAGACTTAATTCTGATTTAAATAAACCAATTACAAAAAATTTTTGTGGGATGGTTGGGGAAATTTGAATACAGACTAGGTATTATATGAATGGCATTTTTAACACTAGTATGATAATGATATGATTATGTCAACAATATCTTTATGTGGGAGGGTGAAGAGAAGAGGATAGAGAAAGATAGCAAAAGAACAAAGAGGCATGACATTAGTGGGACACAGATATGGCTTATTACCTGTTGATGATGGCATGTATAATATTCTCAACTGGATTGGTCTGAGAAGTATTTCAAGATGGGCAAAGTCTTTTTACAAGCAAAATGAGAAATTGTGATTGACTAGTTAAAAAAATAATTGGAATAATAATAATAATAATGATCGGGAAAACAATGAAAAGATATAGAATGATGAAGTGGGGATTTTAATGTCTCTATTGACTGACATGCATGGCATTCCCTTTTGAAAAAGCAATGTAATACACTGTAAAGTTATATGCAATTCAATGTAATATAAACAAGATTTGATGATAATAAATAAATTTCAAAAACAATATCTTTATGTAGAGGTGAATAATCAAGTATTTAAAGGTGAAATGTCATGAAGCCTTAGACTTGCTTTAAAATGCTTAATCAGGGAACCAGCAGTTGGCATAATGGTTATGTTGCTGGACTCCCATATAGTTGACCACAGTTCAAGTCCTGGACCCAGTGGCTTAAACTCATGCCAGGTAGGTATGCGTGTGTACCCAAGATCCCAAGAGGAGAATGGAGGAGAAGGGATTGTGGTGTGGTCCTCCCCCCAGCCCAAGGGGTGATTTCTTGCTTTCTGTCTCTCTGACTCTCTCTGTCTTTCTGGTGAGCGCATACACCCTATAGCAAAAACCTCTCCAAAAAAAAAAAAATAAATAAATACTTAATCAGAAAAAAATAGATAAGTCAACTATGGTGAAATGTTAGAAATTATAAAATCTAGATGATAGCTAATCTATATAGGAGTTAGTAAATTCCCTCTTAGGTAGGTTTGAGATTTTCCAGTTTTTCATAACTAAAAAAAAAGCCCTCAGTAAATGAAAAAGAGATTGTTACTAACTACTATTGGAAGAGTTATATAAGAAAGAAAACGTGATTATAACTTTTTACCAATTTTGGCAGCCAATAACATTTATATAGACCTAATAATGAAACCAAGTATTGCTTTCAAAAATGAGAAGACGGGAGGAAAGAAAGTTGCAGAAAGAGGGAAGGTGTATTGGTTTAAAAACCTCAGTTTTCACCTACCATGATATAAAGTCAGTAAAAAATAAATAAAAAGAATATAAGCATATTAAAATGATATGAAAAACAACATAGACATTTCGACAGGAAGCTGAAAATGTTTACCTCTAGGGAACGAGAAGAAAGGAGGGTAAAGTGGGGGATTACTATTTCTCCTTATCTCACAGAAGGGTTAGGAAACAGAAAGAAAGTCACACATAATCTTACTTCCCAGAGACTTCCCTTTTAGTATCATGTGGCTTTTAAAATTAGGTACATTGATTATTTTGATACAAATAATTAGCTTTATTATATTAATTATATATTTCATGCTTCTAAAAGAATGTTTGATATGACTGGCTCATAGCCATTTAAATTGATCTGTCCTAAAATTATGTAATTAAAGGTTCTTAAAACTTGGATACCAGAAAAGTTCATTTCAGGGCCACATAGTTCTACGTCAGAGTGAAAATTCCCTGTGAGAAACTGCTCACACCAGCCTGTGACATAGTGGTTAAGGAGGTTGGATCCCACATGGCCGTGTAGTTTGAGTACCAGACCCAGTAGCTTGGACATATGTGCATGTGTGCCCAAAATCCTGAAAGGAAGAAGAAACGAAAGAGAAGGAATTGTGACTTGTCCATTTCCCATGGGAAATGCTTTCTAACCACCACCAGATCCTCTCTCCGTGAGCACATGTGTCCTCTGGCACAATTAACCCCCTCCCCCCAAAAAAGAAAGAAAGAAAATGAGCTCTAGTTACTACCCATGAGTATGATAAAGTAGCTCCTTTTAGGCCTGCAGTTACTGTTAGCAGCTTGATCTTGAAAAGGGTTTTTCACATTTTATCAATTTCCTTTTTCGGTATTCCTTAATGTTCGGTGGTCAGAAAAGTCATGACATATTTTTCTTTTTTCCTATGCAAGAATGCATCATGACTTTTCTGCTAAACAATATAATTTATATTTTCATTTCCTTTTACTTACACTCACTAGAGATATTTTATAGCATTTAAATAGCTTATCTTTTTTTTTTGAGAGGTTTTTGCTGTAGGGCATGTGAGCTCGCCAGAAAGAGACAGAAAGCGAGAAATCACCCCAAAGACAGAGACAGAAAGCGAGAAATCACCCCTCAGGGGAGATGGCCGCGCCACAATCCCTTCTCCATTCTCCTTTAGGGATCTTGGGCACGCATACACATGCACCTCGTGTGAGTTTAAGCCACCAGGTCTGGGACTCGAACTGTGGTCAACTACGTGGCAGCGACATAGCCATTATGCCAACTGCTGGTCCTAGCTTATTATTATTTTTTTTAAGAGAGGTTTTTTTTGCTATAGGGCGCGTACGCTCGCCAGACAGAGAGAGACATAGAGACAGAAAGCAAGAAATCACCCCCCGGGGGGATGGTCACGCCACAATCCCTTCTCCTCCATTCTCCTCTCGGGATTTTGGGCATGCACGCACACACGCCCGGCGTGAGTTCTAAGCCACCGGGTCCGGGACACGAACCGCGGTCGATTACATGGGAGTCCAGCAACATAGCCATTATGCTAACTGCTGGTTCCCCTCTAGCTTATCTTTTTTTAACGTTTTATATCAGCTATCTATTTTTATATCAAATTTAAATCCCCAAACATTGATCATTTTTTTAAGAGAGATTTTTGCTATAGGGTGCATGTGCTCACTGGAGAGACAGAAAGCAAGAAATCATCCCCCAGGAAGGATGGCCACGCTGCAGTCCCTTCTCCATTCCCCTCTCAGGATTTTGGGCACACATGCATGAGCGCATGGTGTGAGTTTTAAGCCGCCTTGTCCAGGACTTGAACCATGGTCAACTATGTGGGAGTCCAGCAATGTAACCATTATGCTATCTGCTGGTCTTGATCATTTCTTTAAATCTACTCATAATGTATAGTTTACCAGATATTCTGTTTTGCTGAACATAAATTTCACTAGCTATCCTCATATATTTTAAGCTTTGACCCTTTCCTTTAAACTTTTGTTTTAGATTTAGTACACACAGAGGGACAGCTTCAAAATGAAGAAATTGTGGTAAGTAAATATACTTAGTAAAGATAAACGTTATCTTTAGCAAGTTCAATCGATTTAGATCGAAACCTACCTCCATAGTGCTAGAGTTAATAAATATCCTCATGATATAGGTTCTGTGCCTAGTCAACCAACATGGAAGATTTATTCTCAGTAATAATAAAAGCTAAATGTAGCATTCATGAATTAGACTCTTGTCCATCATGGAGTAAGTGATAGCAAAGATAAAACTGAGGTCTTTGCTTTTTTGATTTATTTTATTCTTTTTTTTAAGTATTTATTTGCTTTAATTGCTTATATTTGATTCTGTAGGTCTTTTAGAATAGAAATCAAAAAGGGTTGAGATGCCAAAATTGGACATTAATTTAAGCATGAAAGGACAGGGAGATTCAAATAATGGGAACTAGAGCATGGGGTCAGCAACAAATGTGACAGAGAGAGATGAGCTGGAGAGAGAACCAGTATTTTTCGACAACATTCCAGTGGGCTTTGCTTGTCAACTGGGATGAATGCCCGCTGCTGAGGAAGCTGCTGCCTCATCAGGAGTCCCTCTGCTCCTGCTGGTTTATCAGGCTCTGGCTTAGACGAACAAAAAGAAAGCAACTGAACAAGTTTATTTATTTATTTATTTATTTATTTATTTTTCTAGGTGATAGAGTTTGTTTAATTATTGTTCCTCCAAATTCTCCCAATGAGGGTGAAAGGGGTACCTTGTACATTAAATTTACTTCTTCACAACTTGTCAGGTGTTCCTAGGAAATCAGAGTTTTGCAAGGTTGATAGAAAGTTTTGGAATCTCATCAGTTCTCTTCTCTCCCACCAAAATTTGCCCAGTGGCTGAGGAGGCCAGTGGGGATCCGTCCATAAATGATTAATTTTACTAAATTTTATCTTTCTACTTGTCTTCATCTTTACCTGGTAGGTTATGATTAGTAAGCTTGTGCTTCCTTTGGTATTTTGCTTCAGGATTCTTTTGGATCAGGGAATGTCACAGTATTATAGAAAATTTAGACAATAGTAAGGGGAATGGGAGGCAGAACTCACCCATAATTTTATTATTCTGTCACAAAAGCTTTTACTATATTTTCTTCTAGTTGTCTACCATAGACATCATATGTTTATAATAAAAAGGTACAATCTTTTATGACTTTTTTTTAACTTGCTGTTAGATCACAAGCTTCATAATTCTAACTTAAAAGCAACATTTGCTTATTTGCATACATTTAAGTTAATGTTCTTTTTCTTCCCTTTGTCATTGTAAGAAAAACACAGGGGACATTTTATGCATATCTCTGCTACCATGACCTTTACTTTTCCGATGGTCTTCTAAGATTATTTTGCTTTAGGGTAGTATATCTGGGGAATCACTGACTAAAGGAAACCCCTTATTGTGAAAAATGCCTTAGGAAGACATTTATGAATTGATCAGAAATGCACAGCTGACAATTTAAGTCCCTACCTTCAATTCTGCATCACACCAATGCTGATATTCAGCTCATATGCACCAGAATTTCTGTCATATGTGGCTGGCCTCTTGTCTGAGTATTATGTTATACATTGCTATGTATTTAGAACATTGCTCTCGCATCAAACCTTTCTTTGGCTAACTGCTTCTAAATAGTTAACTAGGACTGCTAAAAGCATCCATATTGATTT